GGTCGTACGACAAGAATTCGCCAACCGCGGGTTCCCTGATGCTTGCCCCATCTCTTGCCCCTCCTCCAGACCAATTCCCATTAATGCACCTCGACGTGACCCATTTGTTGCTCCACGATCTCGCAACCCGGCGGAATGGCGAACTCCTGACGACAAACCGATCTGCTTCCGGTGCCACCGCGTTGGACATGTCTCCCGCTACTGCCGTGCCTCCTGGACGCCGCCACATAGGAGCCAGTTTTTCGCACCTTATAGCCCATATGAAGATCTTCGCCGGTATTCGTCCAGCCGTACCGCCCCTGCTTTCGACACGTCTAACAGCCGCCTTCCTGCTCGTTCTCCGTCCCCTCAACGCCGTCGTTCCCCGTCGCCCCAGCCACGCCGCCATCACTCGCCGCCTAACTTTTCATCGTACCCGACGGAAAACTAGACAGTGCAGCCCCTGGAGGTAGTGCTGCATCATCCCTGTCTGAACCAAACCCTCCATTGACGCTTCATACGAACAAAAATCTTGTCGATGTACACGTGGACGGTATTTCTCTGTCGGCACTAGTCGATACTGGCGCTCATGTGTCCATAATCAGCGTTCATCTTTGTCGCCGCTTAAGAAAAGTACTCACGCCTCCTGCTACCGAAGCTGTACGTGTGGCCGATGGCGGCACTGTTCCTGTCATTGGCATGTGTACGGCTCGCATAAGCATCGCCGACCGTTACATCCCTGTTCTATTCACGGTGCTCCAGAACTGTCCTCATGACCTCATCTTAGGGATGGACTTCCTGTCGACCCATTCTGCTCTGATCGACTGTTCCGCTGGTACTCTTTGCTTAGACCTTCCTCTTCAGCCGGATATTCACCCTGAACCTCAACACGGCCTTTCTGCCACAGACTTCCTCCGCTTACCGCCTAAAGCCCTCACATTCACCGAATTCGCCACGACCTCACCCGTATTGGATGGGAATTACATCGTCACGCCGATTCCTGATGTCCTACTGGCACGTGACGTCACCGTCCCTCACTGCATCGTAACTGTAGCCTCCAACCGGACCCGTCTACCCGTCATAAATTTCGGCTTCACAAAGCAAGTCCTCCCTGAAGGCATCCTAATTGCCACGTTGCGGTCCTTAGCCGATGATCACGTCACCACTTTCGCAGCCGACGCATGCCCCAATTTTCCTTGTCGCCCACTCGATGCCACATGCCTCGACATGTCAATACGTCCCATGATCGACCCTGACCTTCCCCCAGCGCAATCAGCCGCTCTCGCACGCCTTCTAGCTTCCTACCGTGACATCTTCGACCTTGACGACCGCCCACTCGGCCAAACTTCTCTTGTAAAGCACCGCATCAACACCGGTGATGCTGCTCCCATTCACCGTCGACCGTATCGCGTGTCCGCGTCGGAGCGCCAGATTATTCAAGCTGAAGTGAATAAGATGTTAACTAAAGGCATTATTGAGCCCTCATCAAGCCCATGGGCGTCACCCGTCGTCCTGGTTAAAAAGAAGGACAACACATGGCGTTTTTGCATCGATTACCGGCATCTAAATCGAATCACCAAAAAGGACGTGTATCCTTTACCACGTATTGATGACGCCCTCGATTGTCTCCACGGCGCACGCTACTTTTCATCCATCGACCTTCGTTCTGGTTATTGGCAGATTGCCGTAGACGAGAAAGACCAAGAAAAGACCGCCTTCATCACTCCAGATGGCCTATACCAATTCAAGGTTATGCCCTTCGGTCTATGCAATGCCCCCGCCACGTTCGAACGTATGATGGACTCTCTGCTACACGGGTTCAAATGGTCAACATGCCTGTGTTACCTAGACGACGTCCTCGTATTTGCACCTACGTTTGAGACCCACCTTGAGCGTCTGTCGGCCATTCTCGACGTCTTCCGCAAAGCTGGCCTCCAGTTGAACTCCTCGAAGTGTCACTTCGGCCGCCGACAGATTACCGTGCTGGGCCACCTTGTCGATGCTTCTGGTGTGAGACCGGACCCTGAGAAAATTCGTGCCGTCACGAGTTTCCCAGTACCCCAATCCGCCAAAGATGTCCGGAGCTTTGTGGGACTTTGCTCCTACTTTAGGCGGTTCGTGAAAGATTTTGCGGCAATCGCCCAACCACTTACCGATCTTTTGAAGAAAGGCGTTCCATTTTCGTGGGGGTCCACTCAAGCTGCCGCCTTCTCTCACCTCATAACACTTTTGACGACGCCCCCTATCCTCGCCCACTTTGACCCATCTGCCCGAACTGAGGTCCGAACTGATGCCAGTGGTCACGGTATCGGAGCCGTTCTCGCCCATTGCCAACAGGGACACGACCGCGTTATCGCGTATGCTAGCCGCCTCCTTACACCTGCAGAGCGTAACTATTCGATCACGGAGCGAGAATGCCTTGCTCTTGTCTGGGCGGTCTCAAAATTCCGTCCATATTTATATGGCACTCACTTTTCCGTCGTCACCGACCACCACGCGCTCTGCTGGCTTTCATCCTTAAGAGATCCTACAGGTCGACTTGGTCGCTGGGCTCTGCGACTGCAAGAATACACCTTTGCTGTGATATACAAGTCTGGACGCCTGCACCAGGACGCCGATTGCCTTTCTCGCTATCCAGTTGACCCATCGGCCACCATACCTGACAACGACGCCTGCGTGTGCTCCGTTTCTCAACTGAACCACATAGCCGACGAGCAACGCCGTGATGCAGCCCTACGAGCTATCATTGAGCGCCTCGACTCCTCCCCATCGAACCGATCCTATCGCTCGTTCGTACTCCAGAATGGCACATTATACCGGCATAACTTCCATCCAGACGGCCCATCTCTGCTGCTTGCCATACCCAAACACCTCCGCTTGGCTGTACTCCACGAACTTCATGACGTTCCTACTGCCGGTCACCTGGGTGTGTCCCGCACATACGACCGGATTCGCCGTCGCTTCTATTGGCCAGGTCTGGCACGGTCCGTCAGAAGATACGTCGCGGCGTGTGAGGAATGTCAGCGCCGCAAAACACCATCGACGCTTCCGGCTGGGCGCCTTCAACCACTCGATATTTCTACTGAACCTTTCTTTCGCGTCGGCTTGGACTTACTCGGCCCTTTTCCTCTGTCTTCTGCTGGCAACAGGTGGATAGCTGTGGCCACAGACTACGCCACACGCTACGCAATCACACGCGCCCTTCCAACAAGTTGCGCCACTGACGTCGCCGATTTTCTTCTACACGACGTGATCTTGCAACATGGTGCTCCACGCCAGCTGCTCACGGACCGAGGCCGCACATTTCTATCGAAAGTCATAGCGGACATCCTACGCTCTTGTGCAACACGCCACAAGCTCACTACGTCGTACCATCCGCAAACAAATGGCCTCACAGAACGCCTGAACCGAACCCTAACTGACATGCTTGCAAAGTACGTTTCCTCAGATCACTCTGACTGGGACATCGCTTTACCATACGTGACATTTGCCTACAATTCTTCGCGCCACGACACGGCTGGTTACTCCCCTTTTTTCTTGCTGTTCGGCCGCGAACCCACATTACCCCTCGATACGACGATTCCGTTACCAGCAGCTCCAACTTCACAATATGCTCTGGACGCCATCAGCCGGGCCGCCCACGCACGCGAAACCGCTCGTGCTCGCCTTCTGACCTCCCAAGCAAACCAACGGCGTCGGTACGACCAACGACACCGCGATGTGCACTTTTCGCCCGGTTCGTTGGTTCTGCTGTGGTCTCCGACCAGGCACGTTGGCCTGTCTGACAAGCTGCTCTCTCGGTACACAGGGCCATACAGAGTGCTTCGTGAGGTGACTCCCGTCACTTATGAAATCACTCCTGCTGCCTCGCCGTCTTCATCCACCCCTAGGGCCAGCGACATCGTACACGTCGCACGCCTGAAGCAGTACCACTCGCCCAATGATCTTGACATCTAGATGCGCCGAGACGGCGCCTTTGCCGACGGGGGTTATGCTACCTGTAGGCTGCCACAAACCATAGTGCGAATGCGCGTGTGCGCCCGACGAAGAAGATGAGGCTCGCTGGCTGCTCGAGCTCGGAGCCAGACTGGCCAGTGCTGCAACCGCTCTTGCAAATATATTTTTCGAATATATTCGCAATACTTTGTCTCGTTACTCACGTAACAATATTGATTCTCGGCATTTGAAGTCGCAAAACCATCGTATGATTTCGAAATGACATCGTAGTGGAGGACTGCGGAAAGTATGACCATCGCGTGTTCCTAAACGTGGACATCAGACCACGCAACTTACAAGACTGCATTTCGCCTCCTTCGACATAGGATAACCGCGGCAGCGATTCGATCCCCTGTCTTTCGGGTCGGCAGCTGGGTACCAGAACCGCTTCAGCAGTACCGCGAAGTGACCGATCATAATAATTTTAAATGGTCCTACCAAACCGCGGAAACGCTGACAACTACATAATGTAGTTTACCGGTCAACATATTCATTGGAATCTCTTATTCGATACGGAAAGCGAGCAATTTAAAACCCTTTTGCTGCATCGTTTTCGGGGAGGGCCTTATTAACCCGGAGAAACCAACTTTACCGCATATTCTTGATGCACAGAGGAGGGGATGCTAAGCTATCTCACCCTCGTAGTTGTGATATTGAACAACGGTAGAGAAACGCGATTTCAGGGCCGTCCTTAATAGGCTATAGTGTTCTCCTATTTGAATGTATGTGCACCTAATTCTCAGTATCTCAAGAAACCAGAATTAAACTGTCTGTCTCCGAGAACACAGGCGCAACCTCTCCAGTGATGCAGCGCACTTCTCGTTGGCGACTAATCTGATCCCGCAAACTGACCATGATGTTAGCGTCAAATAACGTGTCCAAACAAAAGCATTCGGCAATGTCGCAAACGGGTTGAGTAACAATAGAATCCTTCTAAAATTCTTCTTCTTGTTCCGTAGACCACAGAAGCTCCACTGCTCCACACCGCCCCACCCCAAAGTCCCCTCCATGTTATCGCCACTCACCTCCGACAACGCAGGCCAAGCCGAAGCCCAAAATCGTGAGCGTGCGGTTCATCTTGATCTTCGCGTGTGCCGAGGAGAAATCGCTCGACTGGCGATGTGGCCGGCAGTTGCCATTTATTCGATTGGCGAGACGCCATGCCCGCAGACGCTCGCCGGATGCGGGATATGCGAAAACACACACACATTCACATACGACACACACACACATACGACACAAATACACACACACATACGACACACACACACACACACACACACACACACATACACAACTCACGAAATACAAACATATATACCCGGCATCACGCCCTCGCAGTTCTTTCGGGGTGAATGGCGTTCTTCCCAAGAACGCACGCACAACCACGCACCCTCGGAGCGTGGCTAAAAGGGAAAGGGAAAACGAATGTGTTATGCCGTGAGCCAATGCTCTGAGAGGGGAGAGTCGTCGAAAAGAGTGGGGATGTGACGGGTGGTATAGCCGTCGTCGCTTACTGTACAAGCACGCGTCCCATTCGCAGCGCTTTGGAAACATGTTTACCTTGAGGACACACAGCCCGCGGAGACGACGACAAAGCGTCCGTGCTACTGTGGAACAGCGCCGAGTTTCGTTGCCAGAAACTGCAGCCTCCCTTCTCCACCATTCTCAACACACAGCATACCAGCCATCTCTCTAATGATCACTGATTACGGGCGATTGAATGCGCGGTGACCGTTTATTACGTGGATTATGCCTTTATGGGAACGTTGTGGGTAACGTTTGCGTGACTTTCACTTCAAATACCAGAAAAAATCAGCCAGCGGCTGTGTCGTGAGTGGTTCAATCAAGCAGGCATACAATAATGACGCGGCTTGTAGGGTGTGTTGTCATTCATTTTATTTTTTGCAGGATAAGGCAGCTACGATTGCGATGAATAGGGACCTCCAATTTACTCGTTCCTACATCTGTGCCAAACACGCTTTACACGAATACTCACCGCCAAAGCTTCAGTGCATCTGGTTGCAGGAAAGACGTGGCTAATAATAGTGGTGGTGCTCGTGGGTCAAGATGTATTAGCTGCGGGGGGATGAATGCCGGATACCACTACGCAAGATCGATGATCTGACCTATTCGGCTTCGTTTCATCTGTTGTCCAAAAATTCGTTTCCACGTGGTAATAAACTTGGCAAAACACATCTAAAAAGATATCATTTTAACGAAAACACTCAAAATGAAATAAAATTCATGAAAAGGGAGTGTCATCGACCTGTTTGCTACACAAAGCTACGAAAAAACTTGTTACATGTTTTTTTATAGGAATACTTGGTTGAGGGAAGATTTCTTCGGTTCTCCATGGAAACATTTTACATGATTTTTGAAGGGAATTTGGCACCATTCTTGGTTGATTATCTTGGACACATAAGTGAGAACTACGTATGGTCTCGGTGCTGAAAACATTGACTGATTGATTCGCTCTCATGCATGCACCGGAATCAATCAGCACACACGCCAGCTTGAATGTGTGAAGCCACGCGCTTATTTTCCCTGACGGGGAGGAGGACAGGAGCAGTGGAGTCAACCTGGGCGACACACATACCACCGGTGGTGGCTGTTGTAGGATTACTTTGGAGAGACTTTAGAGAAGTTTGGATCACGCAAATCAGTTTGGATCCCAGATGAGTTAGGGGCACGCAGCCTCCCTGGTCCCCGCACGGTGCCGTTAGGCTTGAACCTGACATTGGTTAATTAAACTGCTCAGCACAAAAAATTTTAGACGGTAGTAACAAGTTATAGGAGTAATCAAGCAGTTGAAAGCCTGCGCTGGACTTTGTCTCTTGCGTTCGTTGTCTCAAGTTTTTTGCGCTGAGCAGAATAGTTACGAAATACCAACTACACCAATCCCATACTTTACTTCTCACATTTGGGATGGTCATTGACACTGGCAGCCCGGTCCGCAGCCATGGTCTACTCAACCGGGCCTTCTGAACGCAGTAGTCTCTCCCAACGCTCCAAGGTTTCTAAGCAGTCTAGGACCCACGAGGGAGGATTCACTGACCGGACTGAAATTATGTCGATAGCAGGAGATATCATGGGGGGAGATGTTGTCGACGCTGAGTTTGTAGTGTAGCGTAGACGGAAGAGGGCGGCTGTAACACTGAGACTTCAACAAACGCAAATCCAGAGTGGGGATACGACTCGAGGACTCCTGCAGCTTATGCAAGCCCCGACACTTTTGCCGTCATTTGCGAAGAGCATTGTGCATGCTATCTTTAATGATATTGTCTTGATTGTTACGGAAAGAGAGAATATTAAACGAACATCCTGTCACACTGAGTTACAAAAAAATCTGTGCACACATCTCTAAAGGAAAGCTTCTTCGATTACGCAAAATTTCACGTAATCCACGGGTGAACACGACCAGGGTGGTGACATTACGGATTCAGCTCCATGTGTGTCTGCACTTGGCAGTGGCAGATGAAGTTATCGACAGCTCGAAGCACAAAAAATAAATTATCACCGATCACTTGTGTGGAAATCCGCCAGAAGGTAGAAGCGTTATGGGATTTGTAATATTCAGTGTCCATGTCCTTTCACACGCACTTATATGTTAATCTTTTTCTTAGATTACAATTAGGCTTTTAGCTTCAGTGATTGCCTGAGTAGGAATCTTCTCTACCCGAGTAAAATAAAAGCTCAGAAACAGGTGTCGTGCATGTCACAACATCAAATCGTTCCTTTCAGATAACCATCATGGTTAAGTTAAATGAGAAGCAGAGGTTTTAAATTCTGACTAAAAAATACAAAAACGTCATTTTAAGAAAAAGAAATCAATGAAATAGAAGTAGCTTACGCACTTACACGTTCAGCTGCTTCTATATGGGGAACGCGGATTTCAAGTTTCGTATTGGAAATCTCCCAAATATTAAGCGTCGTAAAGACCTCTTTATAGAATTTGCAAAGTGGTGGCAGTATTCTAGGCTTGCTTCTATGAAGTGAATAAAGCACGAGTAAACTCGCTAGTGTACAACCCGTAATGTGCCGAAAATTTCTTCATACGGTACTGAAATTTCGGCGGCTATTCCACGCAGACACAAACTGTTGAAGTCTTCTTTTATAGGCTGAGGCTCAAACTGTAGTGACCAGAGAATAAAATGGACAAAATAGAAAGAAGAAAAGAATCACAGTGCACCTAAGTGTCACCGCAGAGCCTCATAATTACTTTTCTGTTTCTTAACCAACTAGATTTTTTTTTTTTTGTTTCGTTTGGTGTATTTCTGAATGAACCAGCCATGCAATACATTTTACGGGTTCGCACATCAAAACACTGGTTGGCCTTAACGAGTCACAGGGTATTTTACAAATTTTTCTAAGGCACTCGGAAAGCGTAGGCCGTGTTTTTCTTTTTTCGGTCGATATATTACCAGCAAGCTCGACTTTAGATAGCTGAGGATGTCCCTCCTCCCGAGAAAACATTCGAGATGAAATCTCTAATCGCGTCCATTAGTTCCAACCTCTGACAGGCTTCCAGGATTACCGGATTTCAGCTTCTTCTTGCAACTTCAGAGGTTATTGGCGACTCGAGAACGACGGAACACGAGTATAATTCTTGCAACGCGCGAGCAGCCATGCATGACTGCATCCTGTGACTTTTCTGTCGTTTCCTGCGTGGTCTTTGCAAATGGGGCCGGCCTTCTACGAGGAAACATATCCATCTGCAGTGGTTAAACTAAAGGGTAATACCCGTTAATGTCTGTGACGCATCTTACACTTCTTGCAACGTAACACGCAAGATTTGCTGTGCAAATATTGCGTATTACGTTGCAATATTACGTTACAACATGTATTACGTTGCAGCCCTATAGTAAAAAGGTAAGTTCTTCGTCTATAATATTAGCACGCGAGAATCACTGAATCTCGAAAGCATCGAGCGTGTAGTTAACACAGTTTGTGCCGCCCGGACACCGACTGTAGCGCAGGTTTTAGCACTATGATCACTATCACGAATTTCTACCCACACTCAGTGGCATTCGCTGGTGTATCTGCTTGCCAACATGCTCACGCTATTTTTAACGCTTTGTTGCCGACCACTCGGATGCGAAGTTGTGTGAACTAACGATTACTTGTAATCACGGACGTTGATACTCGGGTGGCGTGTGCCCGGACCTACCAGCCCTCATTCTCGTGATGAAGTCCAGCCACACCCTTAGGGAATCACGCCTTCTATCCCACCCCTCTGACGTCAGCGGAAGCAAGTATACCATTTAGAAAAAAAAATTAATGGACCTTAAAGCTTCATCTATAAGACTTGAACGCAATAGTGATGCCCTCTTCACAGCGCGTTCTTAAACACTTGGGGCAAGAAACCTTTTCGAACTTGATATGCACCCACTACGTGGCGTTAGGGGAATAGGCGCAGTAGCATGCGTGCCTTTTTTTAGTGAGTGACCCTTCTTTAAATCACGTGGCAACTATAATAATCGCATGTTCTGACAGCCGCTTGCAATAGGCGCTTGTAGCACGCATTATTACAGCATTTAAGTGCGATATTTTGAAGCATGCATACAGGACGCATGTGTATGTAAAGCATGAAAGTTGACTTCACTGGATTTTTAAGCAGAGGAACTTATTTTCACCGTACTCATAAGTAGACGCGTGGTCGTGCAGTAGAACATCCACTTGCCACGCAAACAACCCGGGTTCGATCACCACTAAAACCCGACCGATCCGGTTTCGGTTGCCACTATGACCCAAAATTTTTTTATAATTTACTTTAATTTAACCGCTCTCGGTTTTTGTTCATACATAATGATTTTTTCTTCACAACCAGCGACGCTGACGCCGTCACGAATGTCGGAATATTTGCGAAACGAGCTCTTTAACGGATGAGTATATCAACCTAATGGCACTTAGCGAATAGCTATAGTAGGAGGCACACTCAATTGCATCCACTCGCATAATATATAGTGAACTCCACCATGCAGTAAAGACTCCCGAAATGAACGCCTGGCTGTTCACACTAGAAAACCTGGACTTTGATGAAAGATAAAAAAAATAGCTGCATGAACCTTCTACATCTACTTCTTAAGCATAAGTTAGCTCTTTTTTTGTATGCTTACGTACTCCTCTGCCGCACAGTGATGTCAAATCTTTAACAGCGTATTTTCCTAAATCTAACGCTT